CCCGTGGTAGAGTTGACTGTTATATGGTTGGTAGCCCCCGTGGTAGTGTTGACTGTTATGGTTGATAGTCTCGTGGTAGAGTTGACTTATGGTTGATAGCCCCGTGGTAGAGTTGGCTGTTGTGGTTGATAGCCCCTGTGGTAGTGTTGACTGTTGTGGTTGATAGCCCCGTGGTAGTGTTGACTGTTGGGGTTGATAGCTTCCGTGGTATTGTGTTGACTGTTGTGGTTGATAGCCTGTGGTAGAGTTGATTATTGTGGTTGATAGCCCCGTGGTAGTGTTACTGTTGTGGTCGATAGCCCCGAGGTAGTGTTACTGTTGTGGTTGATAACCCCGTGGTAGTGTTGATTGTTGTGGATGATAGCCCCGTGGTAGTGTTGATTGTTACGGTTGATAGCCCCGTGGTAGTGTTGACTATTGTGGTTGATAGCCCCATGGTAGTGTTACTGTTGTGGTTGATAGCCCCGTGGTAGTGTTGACTGTGTGGTTGGTAGCCCTGTGGTAGTGTTGACTGTTGTGGTTGATAGCCCCATGGTAGTGTTGACTGTTGTGGTTGATAGCCCCGTGGTAGAGTTAACTGTTGTGGTTGATGGCCCCAGGGTAGTACTCGTCTAGTTGTGGTTGCAGGGGTCGAGTCCTAGCTCCTGGCCCCGCTTCTTCATTGATCGATACTAGGTCCTCTCCCTGCTCCATGAGCTTTATCAAGCCTCGTCTTAAAACATGTCTGGTTCCTGCCTCCACTACGTCACTTTAGTGTTGACTTGTGGTTGATAGCAACGTGGTAGTTGATTATTATGGTTTATAATAAGCTTCATTGTAGAGTTGACTGTTGTGGTTGATAGACCCGTCGTAAAGCTCACTGTTGAGGTTGATAGCCCTGTGGTAATGTTACCTTATGGTTTACAGCCCCGTGGCAATGTTAACTTACGTTTGATAGCCTCGTGGTAATTTTAACTGTTATGGCTGATAACCCCGTGGTAGTGTTGACTATTATGGTTGATACCTCTGTGGTAGTGTTGATTGTTGTGGTTGATAGCCCAGTGGTAGTGTTGACTTTTGGTTGATAACCCTGTAGTAGACTTGACTGTTGTGATTGATAGCCCAGTGGTATTGTTGACTGTTGTGGTTGATAGCCCTGTGGTAGTGTTGACTGCTGTGGCTGATAACCCAGTGGTAGTGTTACTGTTGTGATTGATAGCCCCGTGGTAGAGTTTACCTGTGGTTGATAACCTAGTGGTAGTGTTGACTTGTGGTTCATAGACCAGTGGTAGTCTTGACTGTTGTGGTTGATAGCCACATGGTAGTGTTGACTGTTGTGGCTGATAGCCTCGTGGTAGAGTTAACTGTTGTGGTTGATAGCCCCGTGGTAGTGTTGACTGTTGTGGCTGTGATTGATAGCCCTGTGGTAGTTTTGACTGTTGTTGATAGCCCCGTGGTAGAGTTGACTGTTGTGGCTGATAGCCCCGTGGTAGTGTTGACTGTTGTGGTTCATAACCCCGTGGTAACATTGACTGTTATAATTGACTGCTGATTAAGCTAGTTTTTGACTTCACAAGTATGTTTACAAGTGTTATTTTATTTATCTGACTAATAGTTTTAAAGGGAGTTAGTGCCGTCACAGGTCATAGTACAGAGAACCGGTGGGCAGGGTGTTGTGAAGACGAGAACCAGTTGGCAGGGTGTTGTGAAGACGAGAACCAGTTGGCAGGGTGTTGTGAAGACGAGAACCAGTTGGCAGGGTGTTGTGAAGACGAGAACCAGTGGGCAGGGTGTTGTGAAGACGAGAACATAGTTGGCAGAGGGGTGTTGTGAAGACGAGAACCAGTGGGCAGGGTGTTGTGAAGACGAGAACCAGTTGGCAGGGTGTTGTGAAGACGAGAACCAGTTGGCAGGGTGTTGTGAAGACGAGAATCAGTGAGCAGGGTGTTGTGAAGACGAGAACCAGTGGGCAGGGTGTTCAGGATTTCACTGACGAGTTAACATAAATTAACGTCAGTGAACCAAATTCTACCAATTACATAGAGCAATTACAGTAATAATTGCCATAATGCAGAAAGTCGAGGATGCTCAGATACATCAACAAAAACTAGTAGTTAAATAATCACCGGTTTCTATTCGCACATCAAAACAGGCTCGCCATTACGCATTTTCATTTATTGGTGCTATTGCCTTTTTAATAGTTGGTTAAGCTTTGTTAGTATTGTTTACGTAGGGAGAATACTTGGGGAGAATAGTAAGAGAACTCTCTCCCATATGACACCAGGTCCACGGGAAAGTAGTCAAAGCATTCGTACCACAACCGAAAATACCTGGGTTCAGTTCCCGGGTAGAGGGACATTGTAGACAAGTCTCCTTACACCCGCTACAGCTTTTGACGTAGTAGCGACTAGGTACCTGTTTTTAGTTAGCTGTCGTGGGTGTTATCTTCGAAGGGACGGATAATATGCGTCAGAGTTTAAATAAGTTAGGGATGGGGGTAGGATAACAGCTTATAGCCTGCAAAGATCATCTCTGTCAAAATGTGGTTCATTAATCAGAATTCTACCCCGTATGGCACCAGAACCGTGATTCAGAGGTCATAATTCTCCCCCGTGTGGCACCAGAACTGTGGTTCATAGTTCTCGTTGCGGCTCCTGGATTAGTCATTTTATTTACCGAGGAAGTGAAAGTTATTTCTTAGTAAAGTGTGAAGAAAATTTGATGATTAAGATAAGGATGTCATATCAGCGTTTGAGTTATTAAACCAAGGAGCTGTGATTTTCTTGAAAAGACGATGGGAAATTATCATCTCCATACTAAGTAATATATTTAAAGCGCTAAATATCACATGAAACTTAGTTTCAACCAGTTTAGTGCGGAAAAATTTCTCTCGGTACTTTTTAATACTATTGTATTTAATAGTGTATTTAAAACGTTGAATATCTCATTAAACTGCCAGCTACAGTAGACCATTATTTCATGGTAGCAAATATGCCAACGGCAGTACAAGAAACAAAAATTCATTCGAACTTCGTAATTAAACAAATTTTATGATCGACTGAACGAAGCGTGTGTGTGTGTGTGTGTGTGTGTGTGTGTGTGTGTGTGTGTGTGTGTGCGTGTGTGTGTGTGTGTGTGTGCGTGTGTGTGCGTGTGTGTGTGTGTGTGTGTGTGTGTGTGTGTGTGTGTGTGTGTGTGTGTGTGGGGCAGGAGAGTGAGTCACGGACAGTATCAGGGATCAAACTCGCAGCCCCACTGGGCATCCTCGTCCTTTCTAGTGTATTGAAGGAAACTGCATTTATCTGAAGCTTAATAAACGTGGATTTATTTTCTCATAGATTAAATATGCTCTTAACAATACCTGGCACGCTAGATGAGAAACTACATTTATTTACTTTGCAACCTGGGTGATAAACTTTATATATTAGCTCAAGTTTGCTGGAGAAACTGCAATATCACATACTTTTAAACTTTTCCGAGTTAATAATACTCTCCTAGTCATGGCCCCTCTCCGCTTCAGTCCTCAGATTGTACCTGCTATCTGTTATATCTATATACATGTAGTTATAGTCAGAGCAGTGCAACATCAACAAAGTGGCTTCACACTGTACATAATGAGCAAATTGTTTCCAAGGACTTTACATATAATTAAAAGCATTATCGTTATACAGAACCCTTCAGGACATTCACATTGTAAAATATTTAAAAAGTTAGCCTTGCAAAGAATAACTTTTGACAGCCATTATTTGTCACTGGAAGAAACTCCAAAACAGTAGAATTTTACATAATTAGATGAAATAAAGCCATCACTCAATCATTAGAAACACTTAACATTCAACTTCATAGGGAATTTAGTATCATCTGCTGCCAGATGTTAGCCTCCGGTCTATATGACTTGTTCAGTGCCGGTTAACCATTCCTAAATTTAGGCTTATTTAGGTCAAATAAAAGCAACCTGACTTGACTTACATTGAAATTTTATAGCTTGCTTTGATCGTTTAGAAAATTACGGACGTAATCGTGTTAAAAACTGAACGATGTGTTTTGAGGGGGGGGGGAGGGTTGGTGTTAACTTGCTGAAAGTTCGCAGCTAAGAATATGACTTGTTAAAAATCATACTCGACTGTCATTTTGAAAAGTAGTAGTCTCAGCACCTTTAGCAAAGGGAGTGAAAATTACATATATTTTGACACAGGTAAAGTCAAACGTCGCTTCATCTCTCTCAAACTTTACTTAATGCTCTATTTACCTCGTGCAAACTTGAATTAATACGCTGTTGGCCCCGCACAAATATGGATTGATGCGAGGCTAGGCGCTCACAACCATGTAGCGTGAGCTTACATCATCCAAGCCGGAGTAGTTCAACCCATGGAAGCACGTTGTAAACTACAAGTAATGTGATGTTTGGCTTTCCCAAACTTTAACATATATACGAAAGGAAAACCTCTTGTAAATATAAACTGACTTTTCATATGATAGACTAGTCCAGACTGATTATGCCAACTGAAACGTTGAAATTCGGCAGTCATGTTAAAATGCAACACGCCCTCTCACTGTATGTGAATAGCAAAAAGGCACAATATCGTGACTGGAACGATACAAAACTAATCCGAACATAATAAAAAGAAGCTTATGACGACGTTTCGGTCTGACTTAAACAACTGAATAATGTGTCTTTTAACTTTTTAAACCTGTGTAGGTGCGACCCCTCTGCTAGATAATTTTAACTATGTAGCTTGCTAATTAGCAGTTACCGATGCACACACATATATATATATGTCTTAAATTAATGGAACCTAACCTAAAATGAAGAAAACTGATTGGAAAAAGTCCAAAATGTGTGTTTTTGGTTTGAGGACATGAGATCGGTGGTGTCATTAATTCTGATGTGAAGCATTACTAGGCAGGTCTGTGACATTGGTGTAGCCATGTAAGCGTTAAGCTACCATAGCTGATGTGCACCTTATGTCAAACGCAATAATGAAAAATTAAATTCGAGATCAAAGGTAAGGATTGAGAAATAAGTGCTGGTAACTTGGTCCAGAAATCAAGTGAATGTGATATTGCTTTCGCTAATCTAATTTGAACTTCTGCTAATGAGAATTTAGCTTCAACCAAAAATGGCAGTACAATTTCAGCCTGGCTTCAACTTTTCCTGACGCTTCCTGGTGTAAGTATAATTGGTTTAACATTCAGCTTGTTCCACCATAATGCATGTTTTTTTCATAAGATTATTAAAAATTTAGGGCCTCTTGAAAATCCTCCTCCGTCCTTGCCCCCTCCCCCAGGTAAATGGATTTGATAAATTAGACACATGTGCAACACTTCGGTATCTTTATTGAGGAAACGTTTCGCCACACAGTGGCTTCATCAGTCTATACAAAGGAAAATGGTGAAGAACAGGAGTAGTTTGAGATAATCAGTCCCACAGCCTTGAGTTGATGTAATCAGTCCATGATCTTGAAAGAATGCAGCATATGTGCGAAGAATACCTCCTAATATCCCTGTTATTTTAACTTGGATGTAATTTGTGAAATCATTGAGATGTTTTAATTCAGTTTTGCTCCTTATATTTCTCGTTTATGGCATCTTGGTAGTACAACGCTGCTGTATGTATGATAGCGTCGGGTGCATGTATGATAGCATAAATACTCCATCATGGCGGCAGTCGGCTAGCCTCAAATACTGTGGAGTCAGTTACCATTTCCTTAATATTGTTGAGAACTTGGAGGGTATCAGAAAGCAATACACATTAACCATTAACCAGTTGTGTTCGCACTAACTTCACAAAGATAGACTAGTGTAACTTTTGTGCAACTAATAAGCTGTTCCATAACGAACCAGCCTATCAACCATTGACGTTCTCATTTCTAATTATTATTATTGTTTTTTTATTTTTATTATCATTAATGGTCCAAATCTGACAGAAACGTCGTCATAATTTTTTTCCTATGTGAGGGTTATTTGTGTATTACTATATTATTATTATTATTATTATTATTATTATTATTATTATTATTATTATTATTATTTAAATTGTAGAGAAGAGCCAAATGCCTAGGAGCTGTACTAACCATCCATTTCCATGTCTTGAACCTAATTGGCTTCCATTCCTCAGGGTCTATGTGAAATCTTACGAGTTTGTAGCTTCCCCGCTGATTAAAGTAAAATAAAAATGTACATGCTCCAATAATTTTTAATTTATATAAATGACTTAACAGAGAGAACAGCAAAGTACATGAATACGCTTGAGGATGATTAAAATAAGTCTTAGTTAAAATAAACTATACAAATTGCCATAAATCTCTACAGGATGACTTAGATAATTTTAGGAAATATAGGGAAGATGGAATGTAGTGTGGATAAATGTCATGTCAATAGAAAATGACGTCGTGTCACATGAAGAATATAGACCGTGTAGTAAAATATTAAACTTATCAGATAGAGAGGGTGCTAGCAGGTTGAAAAAAAGTGTCAGTGGAAGATCACTTAATGGAATTTAGAGAAACTCGCGTTTACACTGGTAGACTATAAAATAGCTGTCACATATATGAATCGAGAAATGTTAAAAAATTTATTTATAATATATGTTAGACCAGAATTGAATTATGTTGGAACTGTGTGGTATCCTCGCTTCAAAAATGTGAAGCTACAGAAAAGCTACAAAATGGCTACCAGTGCTGAAAATAAGAATTATGATGAAAAGTTAACACTAAGGATGCTCGCACTGGCTAACAGGAAAAGTAGACACATAATAATCACATAAGTCTATAAATGGACACGGAAGAAGAAATAAAGAAGACAAAGATTGGCAAGTTAAATGGAATGAATTAAAAAGGGGAAGTAGTAAGTGCTACGACTATTCAGTATTTTCTCTTAAGTTTATGATTAAAATATTACAGAAGACAGGACACCACGAGCATAGCTCTTCGATAGCTGCGTACAAATACAGTTAGTAAAGCGCACACGAAGATACACTAACCACTGGAAACGTGACATCCCCCCCTCCCCATCTCCCCCACACACCGCGCGCGCGCGTAAGTTGAGTGAACCTGGTCATGGCTTAATAAAAAGCCGGACCAGAGCTGACACTTGACCCATCAAACTACGAAAAAAAAGGGAGGGGGGGAATACACACCTCTCTCTGGAGTCCTCTCGACTCTTGCGACCGGCTTTAAATTTTTAACGCTGGTTTCGTATGACTATGGAAGGGGTCATGCAACTATTAGCACGTGCAGGTGCATTCTGGTCAATTTTACATAAGCCATCCTCGGCTTTCGTTTCAGAACGTACCAGTTTAGGTAGCAGCCTCGATCGTGTAGTCCAACCAACCTGCATGGCATAGTCAACTTGTTGACCTTAATATAAACATTTAATCCAACTCACTTTATTTCCTATCTCCATTGCAGCAAAATGATAAGGAGACGCGACCCTTCGCCATTAAGCCCATTCCCAACGCCAACATCAAACCTCTGATAGTGTTCATCAACCCCAAGAGCGGCGGCAACCAGGGTGCCAAACTCATGCAGAAGTTCCAGTGGCTGCTCAATCCACGGCAAGTGTTCGATCTCACCCAAGGAGGCCCCAAAGCTGGGTAAGTAGCCCCCAGGCTAAGTGCTGTGGCAAAGTGAAGGGAAAGAAGTGGGAGAGTAGACAGAAGGGGTAAAGGTGTAGAACATATAGGAAAAGACACGTCTCCACAGCAAGGCTGGCAAAACGTCACGGAATTCGCTACGGTATGGTTGATTTTTTTTTTTTAAGTTCGGTAACGTATTTTTGACAGGTATGAAAACGGGAAAAGTATTCTATCGTACCGTACTGCCAACCTTGCGGCCCACTGTTGTGGTTACCAATAATAAATGACTTTTTTTTCCACCTGTTCTGACCGCAGCAAAGTTTTTACAAAAAAATGGTTCAACATTCAGTTCATAAAATTCGTTCAGGTTTCCAGAATCTGACTTGGTACATTTACATTTAAATTCAACAAAAACCCGCAGTTAGGAGAGGAACCTTATGATGACTTCTTGGTACGTCCTGGACCATTGTCAAGTCACAACTGGGGAGAAGGAAGGACTGAAACGTCGTCGCAAGGTTTCCCTCCTAACTGAATGTTTATGGTGAATTGTACCAGTCACACTATTTTCAATTTTTATTCTCATTTGCATTTAAGATGTGTATACGTTTCCATCTTGAACTTAAGTAGTCCAAAATTGAGCCTACTGGTATTAATACCGATTTATTATTTTGAAATCTGATATATAATAGGTGATCTTTAATAAATAAGAATTGGCATTTGTCTTTTCTTTGATTATAGTGTTTAACATAATAGGTTGTATAGGAATGTGTATATAGAAACTTATAGTTTTCTGTAGCTTAATTTTGACAGAAATGGCATGCGTGCTCGAAAAGAATAAAAAGAAAAGTCAAAATATTGTGACTTGTTAATGATCCAAGTCAGACCAAAACATTTTAATTAGTTTGTCTACTTAATGCGGGTTATTTGCGCCCTCGTGAATTTTGAATTTATTTATTCTAAATATTATACGAGGTCGGTTTTTTTGGTTATGACTTAAAATTATGTTTCTTAGTTCTGCGAATTCATTCAACTTTTTCAATAAGAAACAAAAAAAAGAGTCACTTGTGCTTGTAGTCTGGAAAATAACATTATTTTGTGTATTTTCAAACAGTTGATTCAAATGAAGCGCTAAACCCATGTGGGTTATTAAAGTTCCAGATTAAGCTTTTATTAAACCAACTCTTAACTCTGTGAAGAGCTTTTATCAAGTTAAAAGCGATACGTCAGAGTGAAACGTTATCTTAATAGACTGTTTCGTCCAGCGCTGTTTGGTTTGTTCTTTGGCAACAAACCAGTTTTAAAACAGTGTAGATGCTAATATAGAGGAGTGGTTATAGTGAAAGATGTGACGACTCATTCCAGAAATGTCAGAAAAATGATCAGAATTAAAGAAAAAAAACTCCTGTTTATTATTAATAATAAAATAATGTGAGGCTAGACACTATTGTTGGCAGTAGTATTCTGTTTGGTTGTAGAACTATAATGGTGATAGCTACAACATGTAAATCAAAACACGTAACACCATAATACTGGTATATACAATACCGACAAGTTGATGAATAAGATATACTTTCGTATCTTTTTTTTATCGCAAATATTCACCTACACAGTAAGCTTCTTCTGTCTTAACTGTATTCGACAGAAGCAGCCTAGTGTCTAAGCGAAACGTATCGTAAATAAAGATACCAAAGTGTTGCACATGTCATGCATCAGACACACATGCACGTTTGAAGACATAGGCAACGTTTCGCCAAGAATGGAGACTGAAGCCGCTCGCGGCCAAGCGTTTTGTCAATATCTTCAACTATGCATATACATATTTATCTTCCAAACTGTTTCGCCCAGCAAAGTGTGTTGTTAATATTGTGTGGATGTGTCTTACAGGTTGGAGATGTTCCGAAAGGTGACCAACCTGAGGGTGTTAGCTTGCGGCGGTGATGGCACTGTTGGCTGGGTGTTGTCAGTGCTGGACCAGCTCAACTTCCAGCCTCCTCCAGCAGTGGCTGTATTACCCCTGGGCACCGGCAATGATCTCGCCCGTGCTCTCGGCTGGGGAGGAGGGTACGTACTATGGGGGAGAGATGTAGGGGTGAAGGTACATACTGGAGGAGGATCGTAATGGGGGGGGGGGAAGAATAAGTACTGCCGAGAATATAGGGGATTGTAAGTACCGAGGTGATGAAGAGGATCTTACAGTTGGGATGGTAGAGGAGTCTTACTGTTGTAGGTGGTAGAAGAGTCTTATTGCAAGGGATGGGGGCTAAAGGAGGGTCTTATTGCTGGGGATAGAAGAGGAGGGTTCTACTGCTAGGGTAGGTCTTACTGCTGGGGGTGGGAGACGAGGGTCTTTTTGCTAGTGATGATAGAGGAGTCTTACTGCTTGAGATGGGGCTAGAGAAGGATCTTATTGCTGGGAATATTAGAGGAGAGTCTTGCTGCTGGGGATGGTAGTTTTTTACTGCCTCGGTATGGAATTATAAGAGGATGATACTGCTAGAAATGAGGGTAGGAGCAGGGTGTTGCTGTTGGGGTTGGAGTTAGAGGAGGGTCTTACTGCTGGGGATGGGGCTAGAGGAGGGTCTTACTGCTGAGGATGGAGCTTAAGGTGGGTAGCTGAACTAGTATAGGGATTTGGTATTAAGGTGAGGTTCGAGGGATCAGAGCAAGGGATGTGGCATCAAGTTCAGGAGTTCGAGATTAGTTCCCAGAGGTAATGGAGATGGTGAGCTGCACACTCACATGTGTAGGCGTTGTGATGTGCAGTGTTGATGTGAAGGTGTTGTGCTGTATAGGTAGTGTGCTGTGCAGGCGTTACCTGGAGGTTATTCCGGGGATCAACGCCCCCGCGGCCCGGTCCATGACCAGGCCTCCCGATGGATCAGGGCCTGATCAACTAGGCTGTTACTGCTGGCCGCACGCAGTCCAACGTACGAGCCACAGCCCGGCTGATCCGGCACTGAATTTAGGTATCTGTCCAGCTCTCTCTTGAAGGCAGCGTTGTGTGGGCTACGTTAACAGTACAGGTGATTTTGTGGTAGTGTGAGTTGTCACGTGATGTACAAGTGTTGTAATGGTCAAGTGATGTACTGTACAGGTGATGTGGTGATACGTTGGGTGGGTGTTGTAATGAGTGGTGATGTGTTCATATACAGGTGGTGTACCGGGGTGATGTACTAGGGGTGTTTTATGGTGATGTACACCTGATATGTTATGGTGATATGCAGGTGTGTGTGTGTGTGTGTTGTTGTGTGTGTGTGTGTGTGTGTGTGTGTGTGTGTGTGTGTGTAGTGGTGAGGTGCCCAGCAATAAGTTTTATTAAGTTTCACGGATAAGCGCAACAGATAAGACAAGTTCAGATATAATTCCAGATATACTCCTGCTAATCTTTTTGTGGTAGTACAAAAACATGTAGATTTGCTTATCCATTTGTTATTGCGCAGCCGTCAGCAGGATGGGTTATATAGTGCACAATAAACTTACATCTTCGGAATTGCAATAAAAAATTTTACGTACCATAGGTAACATGCTCCTTCCTACTTCCTCAGCTACACAGATGAACCCATCAGCAAGATCCTGTGCAACATCGCTGACGGAGAGGTGGTTCATCTGGACCGCTGGCGCGTGGATGTTGTCAAGAACGAGGATTATGAGCCCACGGAGGAAGGCAGGGACACCCTGCCTCTCAGTGTCGTCAACAATTACTTCTCCTTTGGTGTCGACGCTCACATTGCTCTCGAGTTCCACGAAGCCAGAGGTGAGGCTTCTTTAATGATTATATGCACCAAAAAGGGCCTTCATCGTCATGAACTTCGTCTTGCATTATTTTAATCAGTTATGAAGTTAGAAATCCCATCAATTGTGTGTGCGCGTGTATGAGAGAGAGAGAGAGAGAGAAGAGAGAGAGAGAGAGAGAGAGAGAGAGAGCGAGGGATATGTATATCAGCGTATATAGAGTTTAACCCCACTTTTTAAAGATTAAAGAATTTTTGGTATTAATCCTAACAAGCTAGATCTCCCTTTCAGTTTATTTTTTGAAAAATAATGAAAGGATATCCTTGCTCAGACGGAGGATTATAGTAGCCCGGTACATTCGAGAATAATTGCAATTAAGAAAGCTCACTCAGTGTTATTCAGAATGTTTATTACAACAGGCTCAACAAACTGTAAAAAGTCATGGTTTATTGTGGTAGTGGTAGGTTGACCATATATATATATATATATATATATATATATATATATATATATATATATATATATATGTCGTGCCGAATATGTAAAACTGGTCAATTAGCAAGAACTCGTTTAAAATTAAGTCCTTTCTAAAATTTTCTCTTATACGTTTAAAGATATATTTTTTTCATTAATGTTAATGTAAAAATTTTTAATTTTGCTACAAAAGAATCTTAGAAAACTTACCTAACCTTATTATAACAAAAACAATTTATTTTAGCCTAACCCAACTACTTATAATTTATGTTTCTTTACAATAATTTAATACTAAACAAACAGTGAAATATATTTTTTTCGTTAGGTTCAGAATGATTTTGGCGAAATTATTGCGTACACAAATTTTCACTTGTCCTATATGGCAAGATGAGCGTTGCTATTTAAGCCAAGATCGCAAGTTCTGCCTATTCGGCACGACATATATATATATATATATATATATATATATATATATATATATATATATATATATATATATATATATATATATATATATATATATATATATATATATATATATAAATCTATATATATATATATAATCTATATCTCGTGAACCGACCACTATTCTATACGTCGGCCGTCTCCTACCGAGGCAGGGTGACCAAATAAAGAAACATTCACCATCATTCACACAGTCACTGTCTTTGCAGAGGTGCTCAGGTACGACATAGCAAATATCACTCCAAACAGCCAATATCCCAAACCCCTCCTTTAAAGTGCAGACATTGTACTTCCCACCTCCAGGATTCAAGTCCGGCTAACTGGTTTCCTTGAATCCCTTCACAAAATATTACCTTGCTCTCACTCGAACAGCTCATTAGGTCTCGAAACCATTCGTCTCCATTCACTAATACGCTCACACATGCTTGCTGCATGTCCAAGCATACAAAATCTTTTTTACCCCCTCCCTCCATCCTTTCCAAGGACGACCCCTACCCCTCCTCCCCTCCACTGCAGATTTATTTCCCAGTTTGCTCCATCCTTTCTAAATGACCAAACCATCTCAACAACCCCTCTTCAGCCTCTAAAAAAATACTTTTAGTAACTCCACACCACCTGTTTATTTCCGCATTACGAATTCTATACATAATATTTACAACACACATTGCCCTTAGACACGACACCTCCACAACTTCTAGCCTCCTCGCTGCAACATTTACAACCCATGCTTCACACCCATATAAGAATGTTGGTACTACATTCCCTTCTTTGCCTCCAAGGATTATATATACATGTCGTGCCGAATTGGTAAAACTTGTGATTTTGCTTAAATAGCAACGCTCTTCTTGCCGAATAAGGCAAGCGAAAATTTGTGTATGCAATAATTTCGCAAAAATCATTCTAAACCTAAAGAAAAAAAATAATTCATTGTTTGTTTATTACTAAATTATTGTAAACTTAGACTAAATTAAAATGCGGGCGTTATAATAAGGTTAGTTAAGTTTTCTAAGGTTCTTTTGGTACAAAATTATTAATTTTTACATTAACATAAATTCAAAAATATATATAAACGTATAAGAGAAGCTTTGGAAAGGACCAATTTTACCTATTCGGCACGACATATATATATATATATAATATATATATATATATATATATATATATATATATATATATATATATATATATATATATATATATATATATATATATATATATATATATAGATATATATTGTAACTACGGACAAGTGGTAATCAGTAACAACACTGCGACTAGCCGAGGATTCGAACCTGTGTTGTTGTAGCCCGCCTCATGGTGAGCGAAAATTCATGACGCTCTAACCCCCTGGACCATACAATCCTACAAGACTCACGCACCCAGCAGAGCTAGGTGTTGTACTGTGATCCGAGGACATACGATGGTGTGGGTGCCTTAGAGCTAATTTCATCCTCCTCCCCGTTTGGTGTACTAGCATCCACGAGCAGTATATATACTATATGGTATATATACTGTATAGCCGGGCTACTCAATTGGCGGTCCGCGGTCCGAATCCGGACCTTGTGAATGTTGTTGGACCGCGGGCTTCAGGAGAAAGCTTAGTTAAATAACAGGTGTTACCATGTTCAGGATCAGGTGGTACACAAGAGGGAGGATTAATACATTATTCTATCTGAATGGAATGTATACATTGAATGGAATACAGTATTTTAGCTTTGCTAAATAGTGATATCTTCTTCCATTCAATGGTAATTCATATTGGTAAGTATCACTTACCTTTGATGTACCTTTGAAGAGTTTTGAGAGTTTGTCTACTCTGAGTCCTGTCATGGGCCAGGCTTGTCTGGTGCTTGCCTGGTCAACCAGGCTGTTGCTGCTGGTGGCCTGCTTCCCCACATATCCATCACAGCCTGGTTGATCTGGCACCTGGTGAAGATACTTGTCCAGTTTTCTCTTGAAGGCTTCTACACTTGTTCCAGCCGTGTTTCTGATATCTTCTGGTAAGATATTGAATAGTCTGGGACCCCAGATGTTGATACAGTGTTCCCTTATTGTCCCCATCGCACCCCTGCTCCTTACTGGGTTTATTTTGGACTTCCTCTCATGTCTCTCACTCCAGTATGTTGTTATGGCAGTGTGCAGATTTGGGACCAGGCCCTCGAGTACTTTCCAGGTATATATTATCATGTATCTCTCTCTCCTCCGCTCCAATGAGTACATGTTCATGACTTGAAGGCGTTTCCAGTAGTTTAGGTGCTTTATGGCTCAATGTGAGCCGTAAACGATCTCTGTATTTGTTCCAGCTCCGATATTTCTCCTGCTTTGAACGGGGCCGTCAGCACTGAGCAATATTCTAAGCAAGAGAGCACTAGTATTTGAAGAGTGTCACCATCGGCATTATTTCCCTTGTTTTAAAAGTTCTCAATATCCACCCCGTCATCTTCCTGGCTGTCGTGATCTTTGTCTTGTTATGGTCTTTAAAAGAAAGTTCAGCTGACATAATTATTTCCAGGTCTTTTACGTGTTCCTTACGCTCTATTTGGTGACCCTCTTGAGTTTTGTATATAGTGTTCCTTTTGAGTTCTTCATTCTTTCCATACCTAAGCAGCTGGAAATTATCAAAATTGAACGTCATGTTGTTCTCCACTGCCCACTGGAAAACCCCTGCTTATGTCTTCCTGTACTTTTTCCGTGTCCTATACCGTAGTGACTTTCATGCTTATATTCAGTGTCATCTGCAAATGATGATACAAAAGTTTGCCGGGTGTTATTATCTATGTCTGCAATGAGGATGAGAAACGGCAGAGATGCCATGGCAGTGCCTTGGGGCACTGAGCTTTTGACCTCGCTGATGCTGGATCTTGCATTGTTCACTACTACTTTTTGTGTTCTATGTGTTAGGAACCCGAAAATCCATCTGCCTACCTTCCCCGTAATGTACATGAACCCCATTTTGTGGGCTATCACTCCATGATCGCATTTGTCAAACGCCTTTGCAAAATCATTGTAAATCACATTGCGTTTTGGTCATCTTCCAATGCCTCCGTAATTCTGTCATAATGGTTCAGCAGCTGTGACAGGCACGATCATCCTGCTCTAAAACCATGCTTGTTCGGGTTATGCTGGTCCATGAAATTTGTTATCTGCCGTCTCATCACTCTTTCGAAGATTTTTATGATGTGAGAGGTTAGGGCTACTGGTCTGTAATTTTTAGCTAGTGCTCTACTACCTCCCTTATGCAAAAGGGGCTATGTCTGCACTCTTTAAGGCTTCCGGTATTTCACCTAGATCTAAGCTCTTTCTCCAAAGAATACTGAGGGCTCGTGCTAATGGTACTTTACACTTCTTTATAAATAGAGCATTCCATGAATCTGGGCCAGGTGCTGAATGAGTGGGCATGATGTCCATTTCTTTCTCGAAATCTGTGGAATTTGTACTAATGTATGTTAGTTGGTCTGCGCGGCCTTCTTTTGGAGTGAAAAATATTTCTGCATTTTCTACCTTGCTGTTATTTAGTGGGTTGCTGAACACCGACTCATACTGTTCTTTAAGGATTTCAGGAATAGAAATATTTTGGGTTTCTTGCAATATCCTGTATGGCCTTTTGTTCCCTTTGTACTACTTCTGTTAGGTATGACATCCTGAGTTTTTGCTCTAGTTCAATGATTCTGTAGCTCTTTCTTGGTATACCTATTGCCTCTCTTTTCCTATTTCCCCCGCTGAAGCATATTTGTGTTTTTAAGTAATTCGGTAACCCGTTTTCTTCTGTACCATCTCCTACGCTCTCTATATCTGATCATCTTCTGGGTTTCCTCAGTGGTACGTGCTTCATACATACCTTGTATGCTTCTATATTCAGCTTCTCTAGGAACTGGTGGGGATTTAGGGTGCTCATGTCTGCTTCCCAGGATATGTCTGATAGCTCTTAGTTTATTTTTTCCCAGTCAATTATATAGTTGTTAAACTTACTGAACATCCCGCATCTAACTTCAGTGACGCAGTTCCTTAACCCTGCGTTAATACTCGTTTGAACGTCTATGATGTTGTGATCAGAGTATATTGTCTTTGTAACTGTTATGTCTGATTAGTTCCTCGTTGTTTGTGAATATCAAATCCAGGGTACTTTCATTTCTAGTGGGATCAGTTATCTGTTGGTTTAATGAGTACTTTTCACAAAACCTCATTAGTTTCCTGGTATGTGCCTGTTGGACCAGGGTGCTTCCTAAAGATATTTCTGGTATAACGATGTGTTGCGCCATCTTCCATTTTACATGAGGGAGTTTAAAATCTCCAAGTAGTAAAATATTTGGTGTGGGATTTTCTAGCCTTTCTACATAACTAACTACCTATCAACTTAGCTCCTCTGTGAATTCCTCAGCAGTTGATGATGGTGGTTTGTATACTAGGATAATTACCAAATTCCTATTTTCAATTTTAATGCCGACGATTTTATACTATATATCATTCGTAGAGTTCAGCACTTCTGTGCAACAGAAAATATCCTTTACATAGATTCCTACTCCTCCCTGTGACATATTAATCCTATCACATCTATACATGATATAGTTTTCTATCTTTATCTCTCCGTCCAAAACATCCCTTGTGTGTGTTTCTGTAAATGCTCCAAACATGACAATCGCTTCTGATAGGAGTCCACTTACATAACTAACTTTGTCGATTTTATTTGATTTCAAGCCCTGAATATTTGCAAATATGAAGCAGGAATTGCCATTCGGGATGTTTTGTCTTGCTTTGTGCTTCGTTAGTACCATTGGTGATGTACTACCTGGTATGGCCCCTGGTGTACATACCCCTGGGTTCTCCAGTACTGTACGACTTCACATTTGGTTGCTTATTCGGCCTTGATGGGCTGATGCCTGGTTTAGTACGCCCCATTTTGCTGCCCATCTGTCCTCTCTGTACTAATTCCCCTGTTTGCTTTTTTCTTTGGTTCGATCTTTTCTATGTTTGTCTAAAAAAGATTGCTGTTCAATTTTCATTTCTCTGCTAACTCTGTAGCATCGCGTTCCTTTTACATGGTGGTCTGGGCAGCTCAGGTCATAACAATCTCTGAACTGTGTTGATGCTTTCTTTACACATTACTGGATGGAAGTACCTGCTGCACTCTTTGTTGAAACGACACTTTCCCTTCCTCAACATGTTGGCACATTTTCTGGTGTGTTTGTTCCAGCAGTCTCTGCCATATAGGCACATACCTTTTGCATAGTATCTGCAAATGTTTTTACTGCCTATATTTCTCCTTTTCTCGTTCATCTAGGCGTATTTCTTCCCTTTTTTCGTGTTCATTTGTTCCTACTCTAGCTTTTTCTTCCGTTCCCCTTCCTCTATGTTATGAACCCATGTTTCATTCTTTTCCGACTTTGTATGACGTTTTCCACTTTTATTGCCACTCCTTGGTTTTCATCTTTATCTGCGCTTTCCTCCTTTTCTGGTTCCTTATTCCCTGATTCCCACTTTGTATACAACTGGCAAGCTCTTTAGGAACTTTCTTACACATTCTAGGTTTTCACTTCTCTTATGCCCGCCCAGCTTTCCACCTCACTGGGGCAAATTCAGAAACGACTTCCTTGTTTTGGGTCATTTCTCATGGTTGCATGAAGCTTTGTACATGTTATATGGGGTGTTTTTCCGCATATTTCGCAATCACAAATTTATTTTCGGCATTTTTAAAAAAGAGTTTGGCTGCATATGGTCTGGGAAGTCTGGCGACCTTGGTGCAACTTTGAATTTCGGGAAAGGTTGCACATTTGCGTTTGTGCAAGGTATGATTTCAGGTTTTCTCATTTTCTTTTTAGTAAGTTTGATTTTAGTTTGCTGTGCCTACCTCTTTTATGAAGAAGTACGTTGGTGGGGTATTTAGTATTGAATCATTGTGATCAAATTCTTCACATCAATGTTAATCAAACTGGTTAAACACTTTCCTTATTCTGGTTGTTCGTAATTTATGTGGAGTGGATATAAAACATGTTTTATATTAATAAATACAGATAAATTTCAGTAAATACATTTCATTATACAGAGGACAACTGCTTCACCAAGGTTGTGTTTATTAAAAAATGTATCCGGACCTTGCATACATTGGTACTTGTCCAAGTGGGCGTTTGCTCATAGTAGTTGAGTAGCCCTGTTGTATAGTATACTGTAGATTAGCCTCTATGAGCAGTATATATACTATACAGTATATATACTATACAGTATATATACTATACAGTATATATACTATACAGTATATATACTATACAGTATATATACTATACAGTATATATACTATACTATACAGTATATATACTATACTATACAGTATATATACTATACAGTATATATACTATACAGTATACTATATAGTATATATACCATATAGTATATATACCATATAGTATATATACTATATATACTGCTCGTGGAGGCTAGTACACCAAACTAGGAGGAGGATGAAATTAGCTGTGAAGCACCCACACCATCGTATATATATTACAATGCTAATTTGTGTATAAGTTACTGACGTAGTGCAATTTGTGTGTTTACTTTCGAAATCGTGTTGCAAAGAATATATATGCTGTGTTTAGGTATGAATGTTGCAGCAACAGACCCCGATGTAACTTCAACCGCCACCTTGGAAGGTGATTGAATCAGCTGTGCAGTATTTTAAGTATTTAGATTTTTATTAGCAAATTCTTATATTATACTCGCAAATTTATCCCGACTTTGAGTATTTTAATTTCGTTAACGGAAATAATTAGATCCGCAGATGCCAGTGAATAACAACGAAGAATTTTACCCATCATTTTCCCGTGTGAGACGGCAGGGAGCAGTAATTTAATTATTGTAATAATGTTGAGTAAGTAAGTTTATTCAGGCATATACAAATACAGTTACATAGATTATCATACATAGCAGCAAATATGTAGAGAACCTAAGATAACCCAAAAAAGTCAGACAGTGACTTATTTCCATTGGAGTCCTTACTGAGGTAGTGTGAGCGTGCGTGATGAACTCTATTTGTGACATGATTATTGGCCAGGAATCTTCTTTAAATGTACGATACGATGCTGCATACTTTACACGCAGGTTCAGCCATCTGACACTCTCCGCTCTCACCTTGTGTGGACTCGGCGGCTAGTTTATTGCACGCCCGCACCTTATCCTTTAAGTATTAACTCCGATAGAGACTAATCTGAGGGCAATTAATCTGCAGGAACTGTTTGATTTCATCATGGACTAGTATTTCTAAGGAATGTTTCTAGGGCCTTGTTGAACGAGGAATTCAGGCTGTTCTGGGCCCTACCAGGTACTAGAAAGGTGTGCCTAATGAAGGGGTCACTGAGTGTATATATATATATATATATATATATATATATATATATAATATATATATATATATATATATATATATATATATAATATATATATATATAACTATTACTACTGCAAAAAACACGGAACGGGTGGGGTTTGAACCCAGTGGCTTACGCACTGGCCTGGTTTGTTTGCAGTCATATTATTACGATTTCGTGAGTATTATTACATCACTCAGTCATGTTATTCTTCCGTCCCTGACAGAGGCCAACCCACAGAAGTTCAACTCTCGGCTGCGCAATAAGATGTTTTACGGGCAGGCAGGAGGGAAGGACCTGCTGCAGCGCAAGTGGAAGGATCTCTCAGACAACTGTACCCTGGAATGTGACGGCAAGGATATGACTCCCCTCCTCAAAGAGTACAAGGTCCATGCTGTCGTCTTCCTCAACATCCCCAGGTAAGGATATAGCACGGTAAGCTCAGAGGCGTTCCCTAGGCTTTCTTAACTTGTTTAACTCACTCCAATTTTTTTTCTTATTTTCATTAAAATTTCTTGACAGTACCTCTCCCACTCTATCATTCGCTCTCCTTTTGCACTCTCTCACCACTCTCTTCACCTTTCTTTTACTCTCCATATACTCTGCTCTTGTTATAACACTTCTGCTTTGTAAATACCTCTCATAAGCTACCTTTTTCTCTTTTATCACACCCTTTACTTCATCATTCCACCAATTACTCCTCTTTCCTCCTGCCCCCACCCTCCTATAACCACAAACTTCTGCCCCACATTCTAATACTGCATTTTTAAAACTATTCCAACCCTCTTCAACCCCCCCCCCCCCCGGCTACTCATACCTGCACCAGCCCACTTTTCTGCCAATAGTTGCTTATATCTCACCCGAACTTCCTCATCCCTTAGTTTATACACTTTCACCTCCTTCTTACTTGTTGTTGCCATTTTCCTCTTATCCCATCTACCTCTTACTCTAACTGTAGCTACAACTAGATAATGATCCGATATATCCTCTTTTTCATAACATATATATTACTTATTACCAAACCTATTTCTACACATAGCTCAATTAAAGGCTCCCCATTTTCATTTACCGGTGGCACCCCAAATATATATATATATATATATATATATATATTATATATATAATATATATATATATATATATATATATATATATATATAATACATAATTTCAACAAGTCGGCCGTCTCCCACCGAGGCAGGGTGACCCAAAAAGAAAGAAAACCCATAAAAAGAAAATACTTTTATCATTCAGCACTTTCACCTCACTCACAAATAATCACTTTGCAGAGGCACTCAGATACGACAGTTTAGAAGTCGCTCCAAACTGTCAATATCTCAAACCCCTCCTTTAAAATGCAGACATTATACTTCCCATTTCCAGGACTCAAGTCCTTTATACAAAGGGAAGGGGGACAAAAGAGATTGTAAAAATTATAGCGGAATAAGTTTACTGAGTATACCAGGTAAAGTGTACGGTAGGGTTATTATTGAAAGAATTAGAGGTAAGACAGAGAGCAGGATTGCAGATGAGCAACGAGGCTTTAGAATGGGTAGGGGATGTGTAGATCAGGTGTTTACATTGCATTTATGGTTTTAGAAAAGGCATATGATAATGGATAGGGGAGCAATATGGCAGATATTATCTTATTACCTATGGAATAGGTAATAAGTTACTAAATGCTGTAAAGATTTTTTTATGAGGATAGTGAGGCTTAGGTTAGGGTGTGTTGGAGAGAGGGAGATTACTTCCCAGTAAAAGTAAGTCTTAGACAGGGATGTGTAATGTCACTATGGCTAACATATTTATAGAAGGGGTTGTAAAAGAAGTAAATGCTAGGGTGTTTGGGAGAGGGGTGGGATTAAATTATGGGAAATCAAACACAAGACAGGAGTTGACCCTGTTACTTTTTGCTGATGATACTATGCTTTTGGGAGATACTAAAGAAAAGTTACAAAGATCAGTGGACGAATTTGAGAGGGTGTGTAAAGGCAGAAAGTTGAAAGTGAACATAGATAAGAGTAAGGCGATGAGGGTATCAAACGAATTAGATAAAGAAAAATTGGATATCACAGTGGAGGGAGGGATTATGGAATAAGTGAATGTTTTCTGATATTTAGGAGTTGACTTGTCAGTAGATGGGTTTATGAAGGATGAGGTTAACCATAGAATTGACGAAGGAAAAACGGTGAGAGGTGCATTAAGGTATCTGTGGAGACAAAGAATGCTATCTATGGAGGCAAAGAAGGGAATGTATGAAAGTATAGTGGTACCAGCACCCTTATATGGGTGTGAAGCATAGGTTGTAAACGCTTCAGCGAGGAGGCGGCTGGAGGCAGTGGAGATGTCGTGGTGTAAATATTATGCGGAGAATTCGTAGTGTGGAAATTAGAAGGTGTGGAGTTACTAAAAGTATTAATCAGAGGGGTGAAGAGGGGTTGTTGAGGTGGTTTGGTCATTTAGATAGAATGGAACAAAGTAGAATGACATGGAGAGCGTATAAATCTGTAGGAGAAGGAAGGCGGAGTAGGAGTCGCCCTCGAAAAGCTTGGAGGAAAGGGGCAAAGGAGGTTTTGTGAGAGAGGAGCTTGGACTTCCAGCAAGCGTGCGTGAGCGTGTTAGATAAGAATGAAAGGAAACGAATGGTTTTTGGGACCTGACGACCTGTTGGAGTGTGAGCAGGGTTATATTTTGTGAAGGGATTCAAGGAAACCTGTTTGCTGAACTTGAGTCCTGGAAATGGGAAGTACAATGCCTGCGCTTTGAAGGAGGGGTTTTGGATATTGGCAGTGTGGAGGGACATCTAAGTTGTCGTATCTGAGCGCCTCTGCAAAGACAGTGATTATGTGAGAGTGATGGTCGGTGTGTTGAATGATGATGAAAGTTTTTCTTTTTTTTTGGCCATTTCCCACCCTGCCTCGGTGGGAAATGGCCAACGTGTTATATGTATGTGTATATATATATATATATATATATATATATATATATATAAAATATATATATATATATATATAAAATATATATATTATATATATTTTTTTTTTTTTTTTTCAACAAGTCGGCCGTCTCCCACCGAGGCAGGGTGACCCAAAAAAGAAAGAAAATCCCCAAAAAGAAAATACTTTCATCATCATTCACACTTTCACCACACTCGCACATTATCACTGTTTTTGCAGAGGTGCTCAGAATACAACAGTCTAGAAGCATAAACATATAAAGATACACAACATATCCCTCCAAACTGCCAATATCCCAAACCCCTCCTTTAAAGTGCAGGCATTGTACTTCCCATTTCCAGGACTCAAGTCCGACTATATGAAAATAACCGGTTCCTGAATCCCTTCACTAAATATTACCCTGCTCACACTCCAACAGATCGTCAGGTCCCAAGTACCATTCGTCTCCATTCACTCCTATCTAACACGCTCACGCACGCTTGCTGGAAGTCCAAGCCCTTACCACAAAACCTCCTTTACCCCCTCTCTCCAACCCTTTCGAGGACGACCCCTACCCCGCCTTCCCTTTCCCCCTATAGATTTATATGCTTTCCATGTCATTCTACTGTGATCCATTCTCTCTAAATGACCAAACCACCTCAACAACCCCTCTTCTGCCCTCTGACTAATACTTTTATTAACTCCACACCTTCTCTAATTTCCACACTCCGAATTTTCTGCATAATATTTACACCACACATTGCCCTTAAACAGGACATCTCCGCTGCCTCCAACCGTCTCCTCGCTGCTGCATTTACCACCCAAGCTTCACACCCATATAAGAGTGTTGGTACTACTATACTTTCATACATTCCCTTCTTTGCCTCCATAGATAACGTTTTTTGACTCCACATATACCTCAACGCACCACTCACCTTTTTTCCCTCATCAATTCTATGATTAACCTCATCCTTCATAAATCCATCCGCCGACACGTCAACTCCCAAGTATCTGAAACATTCACTTCTTCCATACTCCTCCTCCCCAATTTGATATCCAAATTTTTCTTTATCTAAATCATTTGACACCCTCATCACCTTACTCTTTTCTATGTTCACTTTCAACTTTCTACCTTTACACACATTCCCAAACTCATCCACTAACCTTTGCAATTTTTCTTTAGAATCTCCATAAGCACAGTATCATCAGCAAAAAGTAACTGTGTCAATTCCCATTTTGAATTTGATTCCCCATAATTTAATCCCACCCTCTCCCAAACACCCTAGCATTTACTTCCTTTACAACCCCATCTATAAATATATTAAACAACCATGGTGACATTACACATCCCTGTCTAAGACCTACTTTTACCGGGAAGTAGTCTCCCTCTTTCTACACACCCTAACCTGAGCCTCACTATCCTCATAAAAACTCTTTACAACATTTAATAACTTACCACCTATTCCATATACTTGCAACATCTGCCACATTGCTCCTCTATCCACTCTATCATATGCCTTTTCTAAATCCATAAATGCAATAAAAACTTCCCTATCTTTATCTAAATACTGTTCACATACATGCTTCAATGTAAACACCTGATCTACACATCCCCTACCCACTCAAAAAACCTCCTTGCTCATCCGCAATCCTACATTCTGTCTTACCTCTAATTCTTTCAATTATAACCCTACCGTACACTTTTCCTGGTATACTCAGTAAGCTTATTCCTCTATAATTTTTACAGTCTCTTTTGTCCCCTTTCCCTTTATATAAAGGGACTATACATGCTCTCTGCCAATCCCTAGGTACCTTCCCCTCTTTCATACATTTATTAAACAAAAGTACCAACCACTCCAACACTATATCCCCCCTGCTTTTAACATTTCTGTCATGACCCCATCAGTTCCAGCTGCTTTACCCCCTTTCATTTTACGTAATGCCTCACGTACCTCCCCCACACTTACATTCTGCTCTTCTTCACTCCTAAAAGATGGTATACCTCCCTGACCAGTGCATGAAATTACTGCCTCTGTTTCTTCCTTAACATTTAAAAGTTCCTCAAAATATTCTCGCCATCTACCCAATACCTCCATCTCCCCATCTACTAACTCCCCTACTCTGTTTTTAACTGACAAATCCATATTTTCCCTAGGCTTTCTTAACTTGTTTAACTCACTCCAAAATTTTTTCTTATTTTCATTAAAATTTCTTGACAGTGCCTCTCCCACTCTATCATCTGCTCTCCTTTTGCACTCTCTCACCACTCTCTTTACCTTTCTTTTACTCTCCATATACTCTGCTCTTCTTATAACACTTTCTGCTTTGTAAAAACCTCTCATAAGCTACCTTTTTCTCTTTTATCACACCCTTTACTTCATCATTCCACCAATCACTCCTCTTTCCTCCTGCCCCCACCCTCCTATAACCACAAACTTCTGCCCCACATTCTAATACTGCATTTTTAAAACTATTCCAACCTC